ACATGGATTTTGTATTATGTTATTCTTGGTATGTTTGGGTGGGAATTTGCATGATAGGGTGTTGAGTCTTGGCATGTTTAGAAATCGTGTTAGGAAGTATTTGGTGTGATTCTTGGTTTAATTCCGTTGATTGAATACGCGGTGTGGTCATTATGTGTTTGAATGTGTTTGGACATGATTTCGGGTTCCACAAGGGATCCCGGGGCGATAAAGTTGCATGTGTATCAGTGGGAGGTAGGTGGGGGACTGACCACCCGCCATCTACCCGCTGCCCGATGCTACTGTTCCAGCGGGCAGCTGGCGGGCGGTGGACTGCCCGCCGGCCACCCGCTGGAAAAGTGCCCACCGCCGGCGGGTGGTCCTCCACCCGCCACCTACCCGCTGGAATTCCGGCGTGGTTCGTGGTGTTTTTTCCCGTTTGATGTTTCCCCGTGTCCTGTTGTACCCCGTTTGTCGTATGTGAGTCTAGTCTGATGTTTCGGGTGCCATTCTTAGGATAAAAGAGTCTTGTGTATTGCATGCTAGTTGAATTGGTATCCCATTGGCCTAGGAGGAAGGTGTATGATCCCGTAGGAGTGTAATGAGTGGTTTAATATGGATTGTTACGTATGAGTTATGTTGGGTTAAGTGTTCCCCGATAATTCCCCTTCGTTATGTGTCAATGTGGGTTGCATGTTGTTTGGCTTCTATGTTTATTATGCATGATACCCCAATTGGTTGCGATCAATTGTCTATAATTACTATCTGGTGGGTTGAGAACCACCAGGTATTAACCCGACCGGTTGTGATCGGTCGGCTATACATGCAGTTGGATTGGTTGAGAACAATTAGCTGTTATATATATGTATATATATATATATATATATATATATATATATATATATATATATATATATATATATATATATATAGGGCTGCGGTTCACCGTTTGGTTGCGATCAAACGTTTATGATATAAATGAGCTACGGTTCATTGATTTGTTGCGATCAATCTCCTTGTGCTGCGGTACAAGTTAAAGTGCTGTAGGGCCATGTCAGGGCTATATACACTGACCCCTTGGCAATGGAACTCAAGGTTCGGGTCATGTGAATGGTCCTGCGGCACCACCATATGTGTGTACACCAATGCGTGTCTTATTGTTGATTGTTTGACTATAATGATAACTGGATATTGATATGATTGATATTGCGCAGTCATGAGACCCTAGGATGCATGCTAGAATCTTTATGTTGAGTCTTAATTGTATTGAATATATCTGTTGTGCTTGACTGAGTTTGTTCTCGGATTTAAATTAGAGTTTCTTAAGTATATATGTATTCCAGTTTCAAAATGAGTTTCTTATACCTACCTATATTGTACTTAACGCGTTGGAGTGGGTTACCAACATTATTCGCTGACGGTTGTTATACCGAATGTTTTTCAGGTAATGAGCCTTAGCTGCGGAGCGCGCTAGTGAGAGCCTGGACTTAGATAGATTAGTTCAATTATCAGCCTACGTGCCTTGAAGTTGTATCGAATATTGATTTGAGGATTTCTTATGTTTGGATAGTTTAGCCTGTGCATATGAGTTCTCCAGCTCAGATGTGGCATAGCACCGCGACTATTATGTTTAGTTATGCTCTGTTTGGGAATTTATAATAGATTTGCCTTTTATTTCATAAGCTTTAAAAGTTTTAAAAATTAGGGGTGTTACAGGCAGGTCCCTCGTGAACCCACCAAAGAGCAGCCTCATGTCCGAAGTAGAATGAGGCTAGTTCCACACGGTGTCCTTCCGGGTATCCCACTACTTTAAAGATCTTGTTGAATGTTCAGATCCATTCCTCGAGGGTCGTAGGATCTTCTTCCCCTGCGAAGATAGGTGGGCGATAGCTCGAGACTTGGCGAGCCACGTCTAGGTTCCCGTTTGGGGGTGATCGGTTGTTGTTAGTGAGGATGGTGTTGCTCAATGTCTGGGCAACCTGAGTCAACTGTTTTGTAGGTTCTGGGTTAACGAATCTTGGGTCGGAGGCTCGGGGGTTCTCAACTGGTTCCTTGTTGGTGCCATTCCGGTGTTTACACGATCAGTACCGATCGTAACGGTAAGTTAGGGGTTTGCATTCTTACCTTGATGCTATAATTATGGGAAACTCTTAAGCTAAGCATAGAATAGAGTAAGAAGAAGTTAAGTAGACAATGATAGATAAACTCACAACCTCACCGCGCGTCCTAAGATTCTTAAGTTCTAAGTATTTGAACACCTAGAGTCAAAGCTTAACAACTTAATGTCTCAAACTTAGAGTATTATCGTAGATGCAGCCTAGATTCTTAAAGTCTAACTCTTAACATCCCAAGTATGTAAGTACCTAGAGTTCAAGTTTAATGTCCCAAAGTCTTATTCTAAAGGCATTGTCCTATGGTCGAACTTAGGCTCTGATACCAACTGTAACACCCCTAATTTTTGATATATTTAAAACCCATAAAATAAAGGCGAAACTATTACTAATTCCCAATAAGAGCATAAGCTAAACATAGTAGTCGGGGTGTTATGCCACATCTGAGCTAAAGAACTCAGATGCACAGGTTAAACTAACTAACAAAGCATAACCCATAATTAATACCCAAATACAAATCAAGGCACGCAGGCCATCTCATCAAGGCTAGGACTATCTAAACTAAGTCCACGAATCCAACTAGCGCGCTCTGAAGCTACTCAGTTGTCCCTGAAAAACATTTGGTATAACAACCGTCAGCGAATAATGCTGGTAACCCACTCCAACGCGTTAAGTACAATATAGGTAGATATAAGAAACTCATTTTGAAATTGGAATACATATATACTTACGAGACTCTAGTTTAAATCCAAGATCAAGACTCAAGGCATATTAACAGACTCAATATCATTGAATAATCATAAGAACTAATAGACACCCTAAACATGCAATGCAAGACATAACAGGCAGATAAGCATGCAAATAACAAGTAGAGGCAACTAAGGCATTCAATACAATTAATTAGCAAGTAGTCATCAAAGCACACAATTTGTATTCCAACCTTATACCAAGTTCCAACCTTGTAGCTCCCCTCCGTCCTTATATCAGTTCCAACCTATACCTCCAGGCCACCCTTATATCACCACCCTTTATGCCTCCAGGCAACTTCGTGCCCCCACCGAAAAATCGCCTATGAACCACCAACATATCAAGATGGTACGGCAGTGCCATTCAATGATCCGCACCTCTAGTGCCACTATCAAGGGGTTAGCGCATATAGCTCTAACATGACACCGCAACACTTATAACCTAACCCATGCTCAACGCCAAGCTAGTCGAAGGTGGGTGTGTGCCTTTAGCACAGTCACCGCTATAGCCTGTACCTTTAGTACAATGACGGGGCATAAGTGGTGCCAACCGCCAACAATTCATTTCCACCAATCACAATCTCATCATCATCATTAGTCACACGGGTCATTGCGCAATGACCACGAGAGTCATCATCATTCAATCAATCAACACATAATCACATAACAATCAAGACACAACAACAATGACACGTATTACACATAAAATCCTAGAACGATGCATAAAACACCAAACGAGACTCATACACGACAAACGGAGTACAACGGGACACGGGGGAACATCAAACGGGAGAAAACATCACGAACCTTGACCGGTTTCCAACGGGTAGGTGGCGTGTGGAGGACCACCTGCCAGCCTCCCGCCGGTGGCCACACGCTATTCCAGCGGGTGGCCGGCAGGCAAACCACCGCCCGCCGGCTGCCCGCTGGAACAGTGACACGGGCAGTGGGTAGAGGGCGGGTGGTCAGCCACCCCCACCTACCCCCCCCCCCCCCCCCTCTGATACACAGGCAACTTTCGGTCCCGGGATCTCTCGTGGAACCCGAAACCATGTTCAAACACATTCAAACGCATAATGACAACACCACCTATCCAATTAACGGAATTAATCCAAGAATCACACCAAATACGTACTAACACGACTCCTAAACATACCAAGACCAATCATAATCATATAACGGTTCAGGAGCATCCGGAACCACAAGAATATCAAGAAATCTATATGCAAAGTCCTAAACACAAGTCCTAGGCTAGACTCAACACCCGATCATGCATAAACCCACCAGAATACACCAAGAACATCATATTACGAAATTCCCGATATAAACCCTAGGGCTCTAGACATAATCAAAACACAAGATCATCCATATAATCAATCATAGTATCAAGAACATCAAGATTATCACATAAACATCAAGATTATCACATAAACACAATATAAACCCAGGGTAAAGCTCTATCAAGACTCAAACACATAATCATATATCAAAGAAGCAAATGAATATGATATAGCCACTACTACAGAAAAAGGTTTTAACGTCGATTAAAATACCCCATTTAACGTCGGTTATCTTTCGAGACGTCGTAAGTAAATGATACGACGTCGGTTAAACAACCGACGTCGTATGTAACATACGGCTTCGGGTTTTAAGTAAAAGCCGACGTCGTATATATATATATATATATATATATATATATATATATATATATATATATATATATATATATATATATATATATATATATATATATATGAATGTGTATTTACTAACATTTATTGACAATTATGTATATTATTATGCTTATCATATAATTGCTGATGAAATACCAATTTGTCAATAAAAATACATTTACTGACGTTTTTCCATATTCGTTGTCATCACTAAATTTTATATTTGGAGATATTTATAATTTTTTTAATAATTGATAATTTACACATAGTTATATCGAAAAAGATTTTCACAAAAATTTCATGTAATTGCAATAAAATATTTTAGCATCAATTAAAATTTCAAAATAGAACAATATTTTTCATAGTACAATATTGAATTACAAGAATGTAATGTGATATAAATGATTCCTAAATAAGTTGGTCATACTAGACATGAGAATATATGCAATTCTATGCACATAAAGACATATAATAATTCTCAAGTTTATCAAAATTATTGTTGTCGGCACTTTGGAAGTCCTTTGTCTTAGAGAGAATGTCTGATATGATGTCTGGTCGGGTCCGATTTGATGTCTAGATATGCAATAATTCCCTGTCATTAAAAAAAATATAGATTTTTTTTCAAGTATGAATAATAAATTATTCAAAATTATATATTCAATTCGATAGTTGATTTGTATCACTTTTATACTTTCTTGTGCTTATATTTAATTTCTAACATAACTTTCCTTTGCTAATATTTCATTTAGTTGCTTATAGCATGTAATCATATTTCATTCTCCACTAATTTACTTCCTAAAATCAAAATTTATATAACAAAGAAATGTTAAATAAAGTTCCAAACTATGGGTTATACCTTCAAATTTTGGTATGCTCCTAATTGAGATCATTAACTAAGTTGTCAAAACTTAGTACATACTCATGAAGACATCTACAAGATCAAATCCAAGCTAATTTATGGTAAAATCTCCACATTTAAAAGTATCCAACTTTTAGGAACACTGATTTCAAAAAAAAAAAATAAAAACAAAAAAAAAAAACAAAAAAAAAAAGGAATACATCAAGCTGAATAAGAAAATTTTAATTTTCTCTTTGAAAAGTTTATATTCTTTTATTATCAAAATTTCAAGTGTCAAACATTACCTCCACAATTAAGTTTTAGCAAAATGTCAAAAGAGAATCCAAAACTAGTATGTTAAATTCAAAATCTGAAGTTTTATAAAGACAAATAAAACTTGCTAAATCTATAAAACAATTTCAGGAGAAAATCACTATAAAAGTTTGGATATCAAATATTACATCCATAACAATATGTACCTTGTTGTAGATCAAGTTGCAATCTTGATGCTGCCATATTTATACTGCAACTCAAATTCATAATTTTAATTTCCTAAGAAATAAGAATACCACATTTATGATCAAACAAAGATTTAAAAAAAAATAAAAAAATAAAAAATAAAAAATAAAAAAACTAAAAGCAAACCACATAAAAATATTAGAATACCATCGAAAGGAACTTAGTATAAACGGCAAAAAAATCAGTAATGCATGTAATGGTTAAAGTCCTTATGTGCCTTCAAAAATAATAGCATAAATAACAGTACAATAACGTCATTTGGCCTTCAACTCCAAAAAATACACCCTTCAGAACAAAAAATAAATCAATAAATAAAATGAGTGTGTAAGAATAAGATTTACAAGTTTCACCCAACTTTAATTTTATCATATAAGCATAAACTTGATATCACACCATAATCTTAGCAATGTACTTTACCTTGTAAAGCTAAAAAGTGTTGCCTAATCTGAAAAATTAAGATTAGCAAATAATGGATTAAATATTGTTTTACAGTGTAAGAATATTTATGGAGATTTTAGGCAATTGGACAAAAAATAATTACCTTAAAATTAAATATGAAAAATAGAAAAGAAAAGTGTGATCTTGAGTAAAACACAGTAACCATAAAAAATAAATGAAGCAAATATGATAAGTTTGCAGTGTGGATGCAAGACACAATAACAGAGTGGGTCAGATGCAATGAAATCATGGGGTACTATATTAGTATGGAGAGAACTTAAACATACATTTTAACTGTATAAAACCCGTGTTAGATTCCTTAATATCTAGAGCATCAAAACAATATTTCATGGTTGTTAAACCTCAAATTAGCTTTTCTTCCTTGTTCCTTGTAACAAGCTTGTCTCCCTCCTTATAGAGTGTTTTGTTTTGCCTGTGATCTGGTCTTTTTCTCCCTCTCCCCTGCTCTTGCTGTCTCGGTGTTTTCATCCTCGTGTCTTTCTTGTGCCGATGGACGTTCCGTCAAGTTCAAAGTCCCCTCCTGTGCCTCCTCCAGCCACTATCCAGACTGAGGTTCAGCAAGACGACGCTGATAATCTTGAGATGGCCTATGCTGCACTAGAGATCAATGAGGATGGTGATGATGCCATTGTCCTCGAACAGAATGTGGACAACCGTTTCACTCTAGTCGGCAGGCTCATGACTGACAAAACGGTCAAGTTCGCTTTCATGAGGGATACTCTCGCTTCTGTGTGGCGTCCAGGTAGAGGAATGGTGATGAAGGAGCTCTCACATAACACTTTCATGTTTCAGTTCTTTCATGAAGTCGATGTCTAGTGTATCATGGATGATGGCCCTTGGGCTTATGATCATTGCCTTCTGGTGCTTGCGAGATTACAGCCAGATATTCCTCCTCTGGCTATGCCTCTCGATACTGTCGACTTTTGGATTTAGATCCACGATCTTCCTCTGGGTTTCTATTCTGAGAAAACGGCAAAAGCTATTAGAAATTTTATTGGGAGTTTTGTATGCAATGATGAGAGTAAAATTGATGATTGGTGGAGATCGTTTCTTCGCATCCGGGTAACGGTGAATTTTCTAAAACCTATGTTGAGTAAGATGCGTATCAAACGCAATGGTGGGGAATGGTCTTGGATTTCTTTTCGCTACGAACGTCTCCCGAATTTCTGTTTCATCTGTGGCCTCCTACAACACACTGAGAAATTCTGTCCAAAATTGTTTGAAGGTGTGAGTCTGAGAGATGAAAAGCCATTTGGTCCATGGCTAAGGGCGGCGGGCCGCCGTTCTCCTCCGTCGACGGGAAGTCGTTGGTTGGTGGGTGAACATCAGAATCTGGATAGGACACCTCTGGTCACCTGTCGCCATCCGTCTATTTCGGGATCAGCAGCTAGTGGTGGTACGATCCCAAGTACAAGTCGTGGGGAAAAGGACAACAGTTGTACGAGGATTGCCAGTGATCAACACGTGTCTCCTCCTTTATCGGATATGGTCAAAAATGCGATTGAGGGTATGTTTGACATGCTTGTGGGCCCTGAGGCCACCTATGAGGAGAGTGGGCTGGTTGTTGTGGACCAGAAGAGATGTAGAGTGGAAATGGAAGGCCCAGAGTTGGAGCCCAATGTCAAATCTATGGATTTGTCTTGTGTGGAGGTTGTGCAAAAAAAGGGGTTTGGGGCGGGTCCTGTGCGTCAGGCTCGCCCAGAGCAATGAGTTTGCTATCCTGGAACTGTCGTGGGCTTGGGAACCCAGAGACAGTTCAAGTCTTATTGGACTTAGTCCATGCTAAGAGACCCAACATTGTGTTCCTTATTGAGACATTTTTAGGCAATACTAAGTTACAACCCATTAAAAGCAAACTGGGCTTTTCGGGTTTATTTATTGTGGACTGCGTAGGTCGTAAAGGGGGCCTTGCTATTATGTGGAAGGAAGGGACCGAAGTCGACATTAAATCTTTCTATCCTCACCATATCGATGCTGAGGTCCGTCTGTGTATTGGGGAGGATCCTTGGCGTTTCACCGACTTCTATGGTACGCCTGATCTTCACAATCGTAATGAGTCATGGCGTTTATTGAGACGGCTGTCAAATCTTAACCCCCCTCCCTTGGGTGGTTATGGGAGATTTCAATGATGTGCTTCATCCGGATGAGAAAAGGGGAGGTAACCCTCAACCCATCAGACTTATTCAAGGTTTTAGTGAAGCTGTTGAGCAAAGTGGCTTGAGAGATTTCCCTTTTGAAGGTTATCAATTTACTTAGGAGCGGTCGAAGGGTACTCCTAATTAGATCGAAGAAAAGTTGGATAGAGTTCTAGTTTCGAATTCTTGGGGTGATATGTTTAATCAAGCTAGGGAAAGCTCTATTGTGGTACCGAAAAGTGATCACATCCCTATCCACTTACAGATATTACCACAGCCCACTTCCATACTAGTGCGGAGATTTAGATTTGAGAATCTATGGCTTCAGGAATCTAATTGCATAGAGGTGATGATTGAGAGCTGGTTTAAATCACATGGGTTTGATCTAATTGACCGAATTGCTAGATGTGGCAGAGCAATTTGGTTTTGGGGTAAGGACTTTGCGAAGGATTTTAACCGGCGTATAACCTTCTGGAGAATTCGAACGGAGAGATTCAAATCCAGGCGTGATGCTCATGGTATTACACTTTATAAGGAAGCCCAGTATGAATACTTACGAGCTCTACGTCATCAGAATGATTGTTGGAGACAGAGAGCTAAGCAGTTTTGGTTAAAAGAAGGGGATACAAATTCTACGTACTTTTTTTCACAACACTGTGAGAAGACGAAGGCAAACAAACTCCATCAAACGTCTAAGGGATGAGAGCGGAACCTGGGTGGAGGAAGGTACTGCCCTTAACAATCTAATTACTTCTCACTATTGTAATCTCTTTCAATCTTGCTTGGGGAATTGGGAGTCTGTTCTCAATGTTGTTCAGCCTAAAATCACTAAGGCTCAAAATTTGGCCTTTAGCCGTAGAGTTGATTTACAGGAGGTTAAATCTGCTCTCTTTGATATGAAGGGTGGGAAGTCACCAGGGCCAGATGGGATGAGTCTAGAGTTTTCCAACATTTTTGGGATATTTTGGGTCCCCATCTTTTGTAATTCTGTCCTGATTGTTTTCAGTCTGGTTCCCTCCCCATGGGGATTAATTCTACCCACATTGTGCTCATTCCTAAGAAGTCGAAACCTGAGGTCCTAGGAGATCTGAGACCCATTGCTCTATGCAATATCATGTATAAACTGGTCTCAAAAATACTTGCCAATAGGTTAAAACCGTTCCTCTCCACTCGTATCTCTTATTCCCTCCCGGGTAGACTAATCACGGATAGTGTGATGATTGCTTATGAGGTTAATCACTATCTCAAAAGAAAGAGTCAGGGGAAGTCTGGTTTCGTTGGTATTAAGCTCGATTTAAGCAAAGCCTATGATAGAGTCAGCTGGGAATTTTTAAGGGGTGTCCTTTCCACGATGGGTTTTTCAAGCCAGGTTGTTAATCTTATATGGAATTTGATTTCCACGGTTGAGTATTCTTTTCTTCTGGAGGGGAAGGAAATTGGTTCTGTCACTCCTAGGAGAGGCCTTCGCCAAGGAGATCCAATTTCCCCTTATCTTTTCATTCTGATTCTTGAAGTTTTTCATCTCCTGATACAAAGGAAAGTAAGTGAGGGAAGGATTCATGGGGTGTCTATTGCTAGGAGAGCCCCAGTGATAACCAATCTATTTTTTGCGGATGATTGCTATATTTTCTGCAAAGCCAACATTTTAGAAGCTAGTTCAATTAAGGAGATCCTTGACCAGTTCGTTGAAGCCTCTAGGCAGGCTGTTAACTATGATAAGTCTACTCTGACTTTCAGTAGAAACGTGCCAGTGGAAGACAGAAGGGCTGTGAGTGGTGTCTTGGAAATGAGGGAAGGTTTTATGAGTGGGTAACTATCTGGGCCTTCCTTCTGTCATTGGAAGAAAGAAGAGGGAAATCTTGGGGTTTATCATAGGAAAGATTGTGGGAAGAATTAACAGCTGGACTAATAGGTTTCTATCTAGGGTCGGGAGAGAAGTCTTATTGAAGAATGTCATACAAGCTATCCCTACTTATGCTTTGAGTGTCTTTCTCCTTCCGTTAGAGATGGGGAGAGAGATTGAGCGTGTTATGAACGGATATTGGTGGGGATGTGATAGAGAGGGTGCAAGTAGTATTCGGTGGAAAGCTTGGGATGCGTTGAGTGTGCCTAAACAGTGGGGAGGATTGGGATTTCGTCGTATCCGAGAGTTTAATATAGCTCTTTTGGGGAAACAAGCTTGGAGAATTATCCAATTCCAGAACTCTTTATTGGCAAGACTGTTTAAAGCCAAATATTTTCCTAGGACCTCCTTCTTTGAAGCTCGAATTGGTGGAAACCCCTCTTATATTTGGCGTAGTATTCTTGAATCCCAGGAGATCCTTAGAAGTAGCTATCGGTGGAGAATGGGAGATGGGTCATCTATTCATATTTGGGGGGATCCATGGCTTCCAAATACTGTTTCCCCTTTCATTAAAACCCCTTTAACTGATAATATTGGAGTTTCTAAAGTGTCTGATCTTTTAAATGAAGCTCAAACTGGGTGGGACATTCCTATGATTGAAGACATCTTTGAAGCTAACTCTGTGGAGTTAATCAAGAGCATTCCAGTGGCTGAAGTGAAATCAGAAGACAAGATCATTTGGATGGAGGAAGAGAAGGGGCAGTACACTGTTAAGAGTTGCTATAAGAAGTTGATTGGAAATATGCAGCGAGTTCAAATGCCAAGCTG